AAAATTGTCCACTTCTATACACACGTGCGTCACGAGGGAAAAGCTGCTGCCTTCGTTTCCTTTCCTTCGAGTCCATGCACAAAGCAAGTACAATTTACACCCGCACCTATTTCCTTTACCCTCCAAGTGCATACAAGTATATAATATTTATGACGTTCAAAAAATGCACGGATGGGGTAAGGGTGTCAGTAGACGATTTCTCTTTTTTTCCCCCTATAAAGCTAGTGTTTGCAGGTACACAACACTGTTTCCGCAAAATCTCACGTAAAACAACTGTATGAGACATATATGTATTGTATACACGCGACCAAAAATATTTTGATAAATCCGTATCCCTTCCGCGAGCTTTTATTTTCTACACATATGTAGTATAACAAAATCCTCTCTTTGCACCCCTCCCCGCGGCATCGATGGCCCGTGTATGTACGGATAATAGAGATACACACTCTTGCATTCCAGCCTCAACAACTGCCCGCGCGCTCTAACAATAAAATAAAGCGCTCGTATCCCTCTCGCAATAATGGCCCCTCTTTCTCTCTCGCTTCCTTCCTTCCCTATTCTTGGCTTTGTTCGTTTACATGTATGTAGAAACGAAACAACAACAGCCGCGGAAACATTTGCTTTTCGCAATAAACCCTCGATATCTCCGTCCGAGAGCGCGCAAAAGCACACTCGTACATTGCAAAGGAGAGACCATCGGACGGATGAACCGAACCTGCAAAAACAAGAGAGAGGGGCCCCGAAAGAAAAAAAAAAGGGGGGGGGGATAATCGAGCGGAACTCTTTTTCCCCGGGCACGCGGGGGTAATGATAACTTGGCCGAGGGGGTGGGTATAAACATAATGACCGAGCTCGAGAAAGGGAAACGCTTTATATATATATAGGCTCGAAGAGTTGAAAAAACAAAGAGGAGGAGGATCGCACGCGAGCAAGAGAAGAACGCCTCGCGGACAGGAATGAAAATAATCTAATTATTGGTGAAAACGATTATTATAGTAATTAGATGCTCTCTCTCTCTCTCTTTTCGCGCTCGAAGGTCTTTCTTTCTCCCCTCTCGCAAAAGGGAGGCCGTGTCTCTCTTTCTCTGCACACGTGTGTTTTTACACAAGGTGTGTGTTATACATATAAGCACGGACGATCCAAATGAAAAGGTGCGCTATGGAAGATCCTTTCGAGGAATCCACTCTCTCTCTCTCGGACAGAAAACGCATACATAGGGGAGCTGATCTCTGGTTGCCCGTGTGTGTGTACACGTAATTACTCGGAGATTTCTCAAGGGGCCCGCGTCGCTTCTTCTTCGATTCGTTTGAGATCCGTCCAAGGATGGAAGAACAAAACAACACACACCCTCTCCCAGGGTAAGTGGATAATTACCTTGAAAAACACTCGCGTCCGCGCTCGTTTTCGAAGAATGCAAATGCCTGCCTTACGTGTACGTATACACACACACACTTTGTCTTCCTCCCTCCCCTCCCTGATGATGATACGCCTTGGCCCCGCCTCCTCTTTAACCTCGCGAGCCCGTATACATATACACGTCTATGATTTATTACTCGACGCACAATTTTTCCTTCCCCGCTGCATATAGGTATGTACAACAAAAGTTCTTCTCAAAGACATTGGGAAAACTACGTGTACATTTATAGCTGTGTCCGAATTTTCCCGACCATGCATACACAAGTACATTTATATACGCGCCACTGGAAGCGTAATCAGAGCCGTATCTATGGCTAATAAGATCGGGAGCCCCGGACCCGTTACTTATCTCTCGCGACGGCCTTACACGCACACCTCATTCGGATCATCTCCGAGCGATCATCCCCGGCCGAATCGGTGTGCACTGTCGGCGCCCCCATTTGTCCCTCCGCAGGCGCCCTCGGCTCATTTGCTCTTGTCACTATACACACACACACACACATATACCATTTCGCTCTTGACTCGACGATTGTTCGGCATCGCTTTCGGACACGGCTCGTTTCCTTCGAAACACGTAAGTAGCGCCATTATATCATTTATTTTCTCACTCGAGTCACGTTTCCCGTGCACGATAATTGATATTCAGCCCTCGAACTTCTTCCACGATTGTTTTTGTTCTTATTATTTTTATGTCTACCTACGTATGTTATTATGTTTTACCGATACAGACTCGGGCTCGTGTGTATATATATTATATAGTATACATACGTATTATTCTCGGAACGAGTGGTTCCCGAAAAAGTGAAATAAATTTCGAATGCACGCATTATAATATTTATGGTTCCACGCTTCCATCCCCGTGTATACTTAGTGCACACATATACGCACACCCATGCGCAAGAGACGGAGAACACGAAAAGCGTTTTGTTAATCTCATGGAGCCGTATACGGACCTTTCCTGGAGACCATCAGAGACAGACTCCAAGCCCGTCCAGGTATACATGTACACACAAAGAGAGCGACTATCCCCTCCTTCCCCTTGTACTATGCTCTATACCTGCATACATACATACCTGACACTCAAAGCAAGAGAGGGAGGATGGGGGAAAAAAAGAAGAGGAAAAAACAAAATTAAAAAAAAAAAAAAACATCACCCGCTGAGCTCTACCGAGAAAGGTCGAAGGTTTATTAATTAAAAATATATATGAGGCGTCCTTTGGTTTTGTCGCCGCTGCTGCCGATACCCAATATGACACGCACACACACACGGTTCGGCTCGTTTTTTTTTATTTTCGGGAGATAAGAAAAACTCACCCATCATACGTGTATACACACACATTGAACCCCGGCACGAAACAACCGTGGCATATACATATATATATCCCAGCTAATATAGTCTCGCGTTGATTGTTCTGAGAATCCTCCCGTGGGATGATTAAATCGAAGAGAGAGGAGTGTATGTGTATAGGGAGGGAGGAACGAATAGCAACGCCGAGCAAATGAACGAGCCCGAGCTGTAATTTGGATCCATATAAATTGAGGGTCTGCTGCTTTTCCCCATACCTATACTATATATACACTCCGGTGCATTTCGATCACGAGTCACACCGTTGCTCCTATACATATGCTATATATATACACGATCTATTTGTCCGTCTGAGCTTCGTACGTGGCACTCGTTTCCTCAAAACGCGCATCGTGCATCGCATCACCTGTTATTAAAAACAAATCAGAGCAATCCTCAGCCGGGGCCCATCCAATCGGAGGATGTGTATAATACCGTGTAATGGACAATCGGAGGATGTATAGGGGCAGGAAACTCGTTGGTCGTTGGAGGGGCTCCTCGAATGTACGCGAACGGTATATCCACAGGTGCAGATGGATGAGGAAGCAAGGGGGGAAAGCAGAAGAAGAAGCAGGGGCGCGCGAAACTGGTCGGGGGGTTGGCGAGTTAATGAGATTACTTTCCAGAGGGCTCCGACGCGGGAAAATGAGGAAATCTGATTGGACGCCGGAAAAGGTCATAAAGAGAGAGAGGGCGAGTAATTAGGACTGTATATCCGTTCGGGCGCCGCGACTTTTGATTGCAGCCTGAGCGCTTGAATATATAGAAACGAGCCGGGGCACGTGTGGTTATGCCGATCAGATCGATGGGATCAAAGGGATGAATCCTCCACCATGTGTACAATAAAATACTTGGTCCAATGAACAATTGAATAATATAGTGCATTTATCAAAAAAATACCCTTGAGAAAAATGTATATGTAACGAGTGTTTGTTTTTATTTTGCAGGAGTCGGTGATCTTGGTGGTATAAACCGAGGCGTCGAGTAACACCACCGTCATCATCTACTCTGGGCATCGGTCGCAGGAGGGAGCACCGGGAGCGAGAGCTCGGGGGGGGAGAAGCCGAGGTGCGAGGCGCGTCGTCGATTTTTCCGGCTGTTCGGGTTCGCGGTGGGCTGCCGAGGCCCGCCCCCTCTCATCAAGCAAGCTGGCGAGCGCCTTGGCCGCTGGTATGAACCCCTACCCCCACCACGCCGCGTTGGCGGGCAGCCCGCACCACCACCCGCCCGGCGAGCCCCACCACACCGGCGGTGGGGGTGGTGGTGGTGGTGGTTACGGCTCATCGGCTGCGAGTGGCAATGGGACAGCGACGACGCCCGATCCGAGTCCCCACTCGCCTTATGGCTCCGGGCCCCAGGACCCCGGGCCCCAGGGCTACCAGTCCCACCAGCAGGGCCAGGGTATGCCCAGCAACGGCCATCACCACGCGGCTGCCGCAGCGGCCGCGGCCCAAGCGATGATGCAACAGGCCCAGGAACACCAACAGCAGCACCATCGCTCGTACCAGCATCCGCACATCCCCGGGCACATGGCTGGCTATCCGCAGGTCAATCACAACAACAACTGCACGATTAAGGTTGGTCATTTCACCCGCTTATGCATTTAATACTTATATAGGTACTTGTATATACTTGCGCACCCAATAGCTATAGGGTGTTGCTTCCAAATTTAATTGAAAAAAAAAACTCTCCCCGAAATTTAACGTAGCTACGGGGGTCTTTTTCTTTTTTCCCTTTGACTCTGCGAATCGTATACATTACGAGAAAAAGGAATAATAGGTTCAATTATCTCGGCAAATCCAAAAGTAATCAGCGCGAATTAATAAACCGTGTCGGTGTAATGATAAGGATTTCGTGCAATCAATTTAAATTTCACGGGCCCGGCACGTGGCGTGTGTGGCTTTGTACATATGTATACGTAATACAGCTGGAGGTGTGTGTGCGAGTTGTCGGCAATATAATGAGATGTATTTTACGATAACCGCAATTACAATCCACTTTCTATACACGCCAAAGCGTATATAATACACACCACGTGGATACAGCAGACACGGTGAATCGCGTTGAGAGAGAAAAAAAAGAAAATCGCGCGAGCGTGAGAGAAAGTCCCGAGTCGAGCCTTGGTTGAGTATATATATTATAGGCCTGCTTATAAATGTGTTTTGCCATAGCGACGCTCATGCTAACTTTTCAATATCCATCAGATCTACTCTCGAGTACTTTTACCATTATATACATAATATATATTATCCATTACATTTTCAATTATCCTTAAAAAAAATATACCTCGTAGAAAGGCCCAATGACGCTAATTTTGCTGTTTTTTAGTCATGGGTATACATACCTCGTATGCGGCCATCAATTATAAATATAAACGGTTCGCTTGTCAGTTGGTACGAGCTTTGACGTACTTTATGCGCGCCAACAACTACACCTGCCGATATTTTAGACAGTATATAGAGAGAAATCATATATACAACTCGGGGCACCAGTAATTACGATGCCACTCGATGGTAATCATCCCACGGACGCCAACTTCGTAAACCCGAGTTTTATATGTATCTTTTTTTTTTTTTTTTTTATTGTTCATCATCGCCCGTAGGCTCAGATATGGCTTTTTTTATATACATATCTAGATACGCGTGAAATAATACCATCTAATAAAACGAAGTTGGCCAATTTGAGATCTTCGCAGGAGCCTTTTTTTTTCTCTTCGCTTTCGCGCCTACAGTGTACATCCGAGCAAATTAATTTCTCAGCCCGATAACCTTCCAAGAAAGCGAGAGCTCTCTTGTAATATATATCTTTTACCTGCGTGCAGCGTGTACTATTTCGCGGATCGCTCAAGGATGACAGGAAAATACAACGAAGGCAATGTACCAACTTATAGATGGCCGTTTTCCGTCGATTGGCTCTGCTGCACGCGGTGCAATGAAAGTGCGCGGGTTTCGATTGCCTCGTGTTTTTTTTTTTTTTTGCTATTAGGTATTGTCGACTGTATACGGATTCTGTCGACTTTTAAGGCTCCAGCATAATACGAGTGAATGTATAGTGAATTCCTTGACATATTTTAAAAATTTCGAATACAACGAAAGTATAATAGTCATGAGTAGTCGAAATAGTGTTGTAAGCACTGCTAGAATAAAAAGTGTGCTAGTCATAGTGATGCTAACAAGGTTACTTTATTCCGAGCTCTTGTTACAATCCAAGAGTAAAAATAATTATTTGGACCGAAATTTATTGCTAGTCGATAGTTGTATAAATCGTAGATATCTTTTTTTTAAGGATGAGAAAAAAAGGTCTCCCAATATTGATGTTGTATTGTCTGGCTGAATGGTGCAGTTTGTAAACATATACATCGAAATTTTTTTTTCGTGATTTTTTGGAGACTCGGACATATGCGCGTATTTGTGCCAGTAGAAATGAAGTTGCTCTGTTTTTGTACACGCACGAGTGCGATTGTGTCGAGCGAAATTCCATATAATTAAGTGTCATTACATCCAGAACAGATAATTTACTTGCGAAAAAAACGAACGTGTTATTTTATTATTATTTTTTTTACGAAAGTCGTAATAGTGTAGCACACGTTAACCATAGCGTAAGAATGGGAACGCTGTAATAATAACCTTACGTCACGTATTATACGTGCTGTGTTAATTCAACATATGTAGGTATAATTGTGCAAAGTACAACCTTAAATCACACGATTTTATTACGATCCATCCCCAAGAGATAGTAATACTTTATCGAATAATCACAGTTTAATTTAGTTAATACCTCAGAAAGCACGCTTGAGCATCACGTGTATGTAATAGTATGGAAAATAAAAGCAGCAAACGAGCGTACGGGTGGAGTGGAAATTAAATAGGTATACCGCACAAAAAGAGAAGTAATTACCGACGATGGTTGTTCGGGGGAAAAAAAATCACAATGAAAAGCAGCAATAGTTATGAAATTGTGAAAAAAAAGGCAAGGGGAGTGCAAATACACCGCATTCTTGTATATATATATATATATATGGTACACGCACATTTGTGACCCTCACTTAGTCAACCATTGATAGAGGTAACAATATGGGCATTTACCGTGGAGAAATATAATTGAATAAAAGGGGGATGGGGAAAGAGAGAGAGAGCGCTGTAGAAGAGAGAGTCACTATATAATAAAAGGGACGGACGAAACGGCTCTCTTTCTGTTTGAGCGATGCACCGTTCCCCTCCCGCGCTCCGGCGGTTCTTCCCCCTTTCGTCCGCTCTTTTTCCCTCGATGCATGGATCCTTTCTAGACTCTCGGCTTTTTATTCCCCCCCCCCCTCTTCTCCTCCACTCGACCCATGCTTATGTGTGTATTACCTGGCGAAGGGGCAAGAGAGGGGGGGAGCTCCGCTCAATTCTCTTACCTGATGAGGAGGGCCCCTCTGATGTGTATGTGCGAGCGGGCCCCCCCTCGTCATCCCCTCTCTCTCGCCCAAGTCCCTGAGCGAGAGCGCGCCAGCACTACTACGCGTACAAATGTATATACGTATAGACAGCACAGGCCGAGGAGTAGGAGAAAAAAAAAAAAGAGAGAGAGAGAGAAAGAGGGAGCGAGTGAGAGAGAAAGAGAGCACAGTCAGTTGGGCCCTGACTTCGGTCGGGACTGGTTCGATTGTCTCTGTTGGGCTGTCCCTCGCCGTACGAGTTTTCGCTCTTCGTGTCGTACCCGCGTCTCTTTCTCCTGTTCCCGCTGTTGCCTCTTCTCCGGTGCAATTTGTCGCTGGCACGCTCTCCGCTGTATCAAAGTCGCGAAAAGAAGAAAAAAAAAAAAAAAAAAAAAAAAAAGAAACAAGAAAGAAAGAGAGCGCGGCAAATGTTACGTAAGGCCCATGCGAAATCGTTTTGTCCGTCGCGAGTGAGTGCGTGAACACAATATACGGTTGTACAAACACACACTCGCGCGAGAGCCACATTATTTGCGGAGCCGGAGAAGCGTCTTTTCTGCCGCTGTGCCGAAGAAGAGGGAGATTTATTGAGTGTCCGAGCGCCGGGTCCCCGGGATATGCACCCATAGAAAGGGCCCCTCTCATTGTGTTGCGCTTCTACTGTACACATATACGGCAGTGCTTCTGGAAAAATACGATAAATACGGGTGTGTGTGTGTGTGTGTGCGTGCGTGCATATGTGTCCGCGTGTGTACATGTGTTGTGCTGTGGGTATTATGTGAGGGAAGCACCTCTCACGCTGGATTACGCGAGACAAATCGACGGAGCGGGATCGGCATCGCGGATCGGTCCTCTCTTTTCCACCGAGTGCTCGGTCTTCTTGTGACTTTTTTCTCTCCCTTTCAAGAAAGAGAGAGACGAGTCCTTGTGCGCCGATTGTGTTTTCTCTACAATACAATATACGTGCTCTCAAGTGGTGTGTACGAAAAATCAAACATATATCTGTATAACGGAGAAAAAAAAGAGCGTTTTTCAATTGCGTCGTCGTGTGGGCGCGCAATATACATAAATATACTATATACATAATATATATTATCCATTACATTTTCAATTATCCTTAAAAAAAATATACCTCGTAGAAAGGCCCAATGACGCTAATTTTGCTGTTTTTTAGTCATGGGTATACATACCTCGTATGCGGCCATCAATTATAAATATAAACGGTTCGCTTGTCAGTTGGTACGAGCTTTGACGTACTTTATGCGCGCCAACAACTACACCTGCCGATATTTTAGACAGTATATAGAGAGAAATCATATATACAACTCGGGGCACCAGTAATTACGATGCCACTCGATGGTAATCATCCCACGGACGCCAACTTCGTAAACCCGAGTTTTATATGTATCTTTTTTTTTTTTTTTTTTTTTTTTTTTTTTTTTTTTTTTTTTTTTTTTTTTTTTTTTT